ATACTAAAGTGGGACACAAATAAATAATAAATAGAATAAACGCGCCTAGCAGTGTATCTTGTTTGATTTGAAGAGATTTCCAGAGGCCTCTTAACATCAGAGATGGCCTGTGGGTGGGTGGGTGGGTGGGTGGGTAGGTAGATAGATAGATAGATAGATAGATAGATAGATAGATAGATAGATAGATAGATAGATAGATAGATAGATAGATACCACATTAAAAATGAAATTTAGTTGCTTGTCTCAAAATACACATTTAAACATGCTATCTACAACATATGTATAAAAGTATGGAAGGGAAGATTTTGGTGTTTCCACCAGAGTCAGTGGTGGTTACTTTCTCATGCCCTTCCACATGGTTTCTCTAGGACCTGCCCGTGATCATAAAGTTCAGTCTTCCGTCCCGCTTTATGCTCAAAACTAGGCCTGGCCTAACTGGGATCCTTTGACCTCCTAAAGTTCTCCTTGATGGCTTCCATGCAGGTGGACAAAGACAAGGCGAAGCAGCTGATGAAGGAGATTGGGAAAGGGATCCAGGAGCTGGACCTGACCGGCTGTTACTGGTTGCCTGGCTTGACCATCGACCAAGTGACCCGCTGCAAGAATTTGGTGAAGCTGAACCTGTCCGGCTGCCACCTCACCTCCCTTCGCCTCTCGAAGATGCTCTCCGCCTTGCAGCAGCTTCGCTCGTTGGCCATCGACGTGAATCCCGGGTTCGACGCCTCCCACTTGAGCAGCGAGTGCAAGGCCACCCTGAGCCGGGTGCTGGAGTTGAAGCAGACCCTCTACACCCCGTCCTACGGGGTGGTGCCCTGCTGCACCAGCCTGGAGAAGCTGCTGTTGTACTTTGAGATCCTCGATCGATCCCGGGAGGGTTTAATCATCTCGGGACAGCTCATGGTGGGAGAGAGCAACGTGCCCCATTATCAGAATCTACGGGTCTTCTACGCCCGGCTGGCTCCCGGCCCGGTCAACCAGGAAGTGGTGAGGCTCTACTTGGCAGTGCTGAGTGACCGGACTCCGGAGAAGCTTCACGCCTTCCTCATCTCTGCCCCGGGTGGATTCGCCCAGAGCTGCGCCGTGAAAAACCTCTTGGATTCCATGGCCAGGAACGTGACCTTAGACGCCCTGCAGCTGCCTCGCTCCTGGATGAACGGTTCCA